AGAGAGAGAGAGAGAGAGAGAGAGAGAGAGAGAGAGAGAGAGAGAGAGAGAGAGAGAGAGAGAGAGAGAGAGAGAGAGAGAGAGGGGTGTTACTGGTAAGCGTCTGTTGTGTTTTACCGTTTGTCTGCGTTTTTGCAATATGGTATGTAGAATGTTGAATGCTGTTTTGGATGGAGTTTTGATGCTTAAGAATTATACAACTCTCTATTCACACATGATCTTGCGCAGTTGTCAGAGTGCATAAATTATGTTGAAATTTGAAACATTATGTCCTTGCAGATGGGGTCTGCAATTGTATGGGGGATCTTCACCGGCTCCCGTGTTTGCGTACCGGCAGTGGACATAAATCGAGGAGCAGGAACAGGAGCAGGAACAGGAGCAGAATCAGGAAACAAATCAGCACCAGTTTCTCAACCAGGAGCATGACTGGATGTTGCGGTGGTTGAGTGCGCAGCTGAGTTGCTGCCGGGGGACTGGTTGCTGGCACAGTGGGTGCAGGCTGAGGGACGGAGTTACCAGCAGGAAAGTGAAGGCTTAGAGGAGTCAGAAGCAAAAGTGGCATAGCTTGAGGCATGGAACAGTGAAGAGCGAGCTAATGTGGGTGGTAATTGGACCGTTGCATCAACTTATTGCGGTCATAGCGTGGGATAATTACTTGTCAGAACCGGCTAATGTGGGTTATAATTGGACTGATAGGTTGACTCGTTCATTACTGTCACAGCTGGGATAGTTACTTAGTGGCACAGCCAGCACACGCAAGCTGAATGTTCGGAGTAGGCTCATCTGCGTCTTCAGCTGGGGGACTCTTTGGGTCTACTATGCCAGCATTTGGGTCCTCAACGCCTGCTTTTGGTGGTGGCCTGTCAACCCCAGCTTTTGGTGCGTCCGCATCAGCCTTTGGGGCTCCATCCGCATTTGGGGCTGCTTCTACGCCTGCATTTGGCTCGTCGACGCCTGCCTTTGGGGCTTTGACGCCTGCCTTTGGGGCTTCGACGCCTGCCTTTGGACAATCAACACCGGGATTTGGATCATCCACACCAGCTTTTGGCACCAGTCCATCCCTGGCTTTTGGGGCTTCCTCCACACCAGCTTTTGGGTCTTCTACTCCTGCGTTTGGAGCGACACCAGGTTCTGGCGCCTCGTCAGCCCCCCTCGGTGGGGGGCTCTTTAGTGCGGGAACCGCACAGCCGTCATCGTCACTCTTTGGATCATCTGCTGGCCTCCTTGGTACACCAAGTCAATCACTCTTCGGGCAGCCACAGTCGCAGCCAAGCCTGCTCGGACAACCACAACCAGCTTCATCAGCATCATGGCAGCCTGGGCTGTTCACGAACCCTCAACAGCAGCAGCAGCAGCTGCAACAGCCGCTGCTGCAGATGTTTGCACCCTTCGGGGGCCAGCAGCAGCAGCAGCTTATGACACAAATGGCGCCTGTTGCACCATTGGGAGTTCCGCTTCCAGACAGGGAGATCCAGGCCGTTGTCGATGCATACAACGATAGTCCCCTTAATCCTCGTTATCGATTCCGGCACCTGTTCCTCAGCGTAACTGACCCGGTTTATCGCCAGAAGCCTGGCGCCATAACAGACGCCATGTGGGCGGAGGCCATGAACAAGCTAGAGAGTATGGACCCCACAGACAGAGACAGACTTTGGCCAGAGTTAGGTCAAGGGTTCAAGGACTTGTCTCGCCGATTGAAGCTGCAGGATGAGGCCATTGAAGAGGACACGAACAGGCTTCGGATTACCGAAAATAATGTGAAACAGTTGCAGAGGCATTTTGAAGTGGATACGATGCCGTGGATCCAACGACTCAGGCAAAAGGAGCAGGAGCTCCAGAGGCGACTTCTTCATGTCATGCGGATTGTCGAAGCATTTGAAGTGAGAGGAGTGAGGGTGCCACTATCGAAAGGTGAGGTCCATCTTGCAGAAAGGTTACGAGCCCTCGCAAGGCAGATGCAAGGGCCATCTGCCGAAATGCCACGTAGAGCTGATGCACTTGTGTCCCTCTCAAGGTTGAGGAGTGGGATGGGGACGTCCGCTTCCGCGATGCTGCCTGCAGCAGCAAATGTCGACGAGAGTAGCCTTGCTGAAATGCATGAATTGCTTAGGAAGCAGACGGACGCCATCGAGAGGATCACAGGTGTCCTGAAAAGGGACATGCGGGATGTGGAGATTATGTTAGAAGATGCAGATATACGGTGGGAGGCTCCTGCTGGTGGGCCTGCGGTAAACGGCCACAGTTTCAGAGGTCGCGCCAATGGACACAGTTATGGCAGTGGTTCGGGAAGCCGTGGAGCTGGCAGGTTGTCGGCACACTTCTACTAGGATTAGGGCGAATCCCTTTTTTCCTCAGTGGACATCGTAAGGGCACACTCACACTAGGACTTCTTAACCTTTTCTGGATGTAGTTGCGGCCAGATTCATCTAGCTCCAGCCGTAATGCGGTCAGGTACATTTGAGATAGAGGTAGTGTGAGTGTGCCCTAAGGATTGGTTGTAGTCATACGGCCCTTCTGACAAAGTCGTTCATCAAATTATTTTTTAAACGCAGATGCCTATGTTCACTCGCTGGTCCTCCTGTCTATTCCTCTGTTTCCTGCCAGCCAGATTGTCTATAGTCTTCCTGTTGTCTATTCCTCAGGCTGTTTCCCGCCAGCCAGATTGTGCGTAGTCTTCCGGTTGGGATGACAACTTGCACATCTTATAACTTAGGTCATACTCGCACTACGGATTTCTCACTCTTTTCTGGACACGGCCGTAGTTTACGGTCAGATACATTTCAGATTGCGCGAGTGTGAGTATGCTCTTAGGAACTCTTTTCTCTAGAGGTCTATTACCACCACCTCCTCCTCATCATCATCTCTTCAGACCCGAATGCACCTTCTGACCTTGTGTTGCTATTTCTGACTGCATTTTTACGTCCTTCCCCCCCCTACCCTCTGCACCTCCCTGAGTTTCTCTATTTCCCTGCTTATCTGCTGTACCTTCACGTCTCCTCTTACCTCTAACTTTGCTCAGTTCTCTGAGTTCAAACTTCCCTTGTTGCCACTTTGTTCGTCACCTGTGACCCCTTCGTTTCCCCTCTACTTTTTCAACTTCGCTCATTTACCCTCTACTTTTTCTAACTTTGCTCATTTACCCCCTCCACTTTTTTGACTCTGCTCATTTACCCTTGTGCTTTTTTTTACCTTTGCTCACTTACCCTCTCTACTTTTTTGACTTTGCTCATTTACCCTTGTACTTTTTTTCACCTTCGCTCATTTACCCCTCTGGCCTCTACCTTACCCCTGACCTCTTTTAACTTCGCTCATCTACCCCTCTTACCTTTTTTAACTCTGCTCATTTACCCCTCTGCTTTTTCAACTTTGCTCATTTACCCCTCTACTTTATTTACCTTTGTTCTTTTAACCCTCTACTTTTTCACCTTTACTCCCTCTGCTTTATTTACCTTTGTTCTTTTAACCCTCTACTTTTTCACCTTTGCTCTTTTACCCCTGTACTTTTTTATTTGCTCATTTATCCCTCTGCCTTTTGAAACTTTGCTCATTTCTCTGAGGTTCAAAGGATTGCCCTGCACTGCCAGTTTATTGGTCACCTGAAAAGGTTTCTTCATTACTACTCTCTGATATACCTCATCCCGGTGCCTGTCTGTGAGTCACCTGCTGCTGCTTCTTTTCATCCTTTTCCCCCTCGATGGTACCTCATCTTTTCCACAACTCGTTTATTTTGTTCCCCATCAACGTTTTCCTCTTTCTTTTCCTCTTTCTCTCCGTCTCCAACATTTTCGGCTTCCTCTACCCCTCTTCTTCTTCTTGTCCAACTCTTAATCGCCTGAGACCTCTCTTTCTCTTTTCTTTTCTTCCCATGCTTTGGGGAGACCAGGCTTGCTCATTTCTCCATGCCTTTTCACATCCTTGTGATGGCCAGTGTTCTTGACCTGATCCTCGACCAAACTTTCAAAGTTCCATTTCGTCTACGGCTGTCGCTCGGCCAGCAATTCCTGTTCTTTTTTCATGCCATTGAGACATTGTTCCCTGATCGGGCGATTCTCCTCCTCCTCCTCCTCCCCCTTCCGTTCTTCCTCCTCCTCCTCCTCCTTGAACAGCGAGCAAATGCTTCTCCTCCAGCATTGCATTCATGGAGGTCGAAGCATGAGACCAAACGATGCGACTCCTCCTCCTCCTCCCCCTTCCCAGAACAGCGAGCAATGCTTCTCCTTCAACATTGCATTCATGGAGGTTGAAGCATGACACCAAATGATGCCAGGCCTGTAATTACTGTTGATGGATAAACAGCTCAGCATCTCTTATTACTTAGTGCTAATCATCCTCCCACCTCCTCTGCCTGCTCCAGTTTTCTTCAGCCCTGAACTACGTGTCATTGCTGCTCCTTTGGTCCCCTGCAGTGAGTTTCTCTCTTCTCTTCCTCTGCTTTGGACCTCTACTGCACGGTCAGGACATGATCTTTGTGCTCTTTAAAAAAGAAAAAAGACCTTCATGCTCTCTAACCTTCAGTTGCAGGGCTAGTAGATTGATATATCGCATGGAGAAATGGAGTGTGGTCGCGGTAGTGAAAGAGATGTTGAACTGTGGAAACCGGGACGTTGAACATGCTGCAGAGAGTTCTCCTACCACCGCCTTCCTGCTCCTGGACGAAGCTTGGACTAGAAACATTTCCTTTGTTTAATGAATTGCCATTCCTTCCTGATTTTGAATTAGGCTACGGCGGCCTTGTTGGTTCTGAATTGTTTTTTGTAACCTGTCTATTCCGTCTGTTTCTTCTTGTGTTCTTCCGCTGCCTGTGTTCTCTCCTTGTCCACCCTGCTCTTATCAAACTATCCCGAACTTGCTGAGTCTTATTTTTTTTGCTTTTTTTAAAAGTAATTCAGAATGGTTTTATTCTGGTCATCTGGTGGCATATGGGCCTTGAACTCTGATCTGTATTTCTTTTTCTTTTATTTTTTTTGTGTGTGTGAAAGAGGCACAGCCCCTTTATATTCTGGGGGGAACCAGTCCGGTTACTTGTCACCGGCAAGCATGGAAAATAGAAGGATCATAAGAACCGGGAATCATAACCTCTTTAAACCACCACTACCACCGCCGTCCTAAACTGGGGGGAACCGGTAGCAGAGGTTCATGAAGACTACCGGTAGCACAGAGGGGAGAACTGGCCGAGTGACAGAAGTGGACAATGCGTCGAATTGTGGCTGTGATTTATTTCGCTGTTGAAAATTTGAAAATATTTTTCCTGGATAGATCACGGCCAAGTCTACAGACCCTCCAATTTTCAGAGCTTTTGCATCATTCTTCTGAGCGCAAAAAATCGCAGAAGTTGGGGTACTTTTTCTGTCAGCCAAAAGTGGTTGAGTGGCAAAAATAGAAAATGCAATGAATCGGCACGGCACTCATTTGGCGGTCTAAACGTTTTTATTATGTTTTCCTGATATTTTTCCTGGATAGATTGCAACCTAATCTACAAGATCTCTAATTTTCAGTTTCTTTTCCGTTAATTCTTCTGAGCTTGAAAAATTGTCGAGGTTGGCGGTCGAAAATTGTGGGACTGCCCCCGCCTGCGCCTGCCGGTCACCGACCTACCGTTTTCTGAGGCCGTAACTCTTTGGAAATCCGACTTTAGGCCGGCAGGGGTAGCAGTGGTTTAAACCACCAGTACTTGGCTCAGCTATCAAGTCTGAACCTCGGCCGACCGGTATGCCGAGCTGTGCCGAGGCTGGAGCTACCGGTAGGATGCTGCCCAGACTTAGATTTTGAAGAAATACAAAAAAGAGCGAAAAAGAAAACAACGAATGGAAGAAAAAAAAAATGAAAAACATCGTCCGAAAGTTAGTTCTCTTTTCTCGTGACGCACACACACACACACACACATCACACACACACACAGAGAAAGATAGATAGATAGATGGAGAGAGAGAGAGAGAGAGAGAGAGAGAGAGAGAGAGAGAGAGAGAGAGAGAGAGAGAAACTTCCTGCATTTTCGAGGGAGATTCTGGCCTGCCCAGTAAACAGTAAAATGTTATGAAGCCATCCATTCCACCTGTACTTCCTTTAAAAGTGATACTAGAAAAAAGAGAATCTGGAAGAGAGAGGTTCAGAAAAAGGAAGACAGAAGAATGTCACAGAATGGATACCTAGTTATCAGCCAAAGCGAGACAATAAGAAAAGCCTCAAAATCCTGACTGTAAAAGAGATGGACCCCTGGGGGGAGCCGTCCTCTATGAAAACTTCAGAATGACCAAGCAAACAGTGATATGGTTATCTTACTACCTGAAGTATTGAACAAAAGTCAAACGGCTAAAATTGCAACTAAGGTTCGTATCTGTTACCTGAAATATTATACAAAAGTCGTACAACTAGACTCATAGATAAAAGTTCCTACAAGTACAGGATGTGCAGGGGTCATGGATAGGAATATCCTACGGCTGCAGAAGGGAGATTGACCTCGCTTGAGGCTCATTAGAGTCATCGGGAGAGGCCGATTGAGCCTGCACTTCTGGACCAAACCACAAAGGTGGAAGTGCAGGCCCGAAATATTTGGGGGTTGACTTCTCCTTTGGGGATTGACTTCTCCTTGCAAACCACTTTGCGGAGCCGTCTGAATCCCAAGTGCTTTGAAAAATTGCCCCCTTGCAAGACAATCAACGCCCCAATCCTCAATCCCGTCAACGAGGGTGAATGACACCACCACGGTGTTGTCGGAGTTGAGCTTGACTCCTGAAAACTCTCAGAGCGTATTCGACCCGTAGCTTTGTCATTTGACAATCACAAGGTAAGATTGTAGGCAGCAGAATCACCCACAAAAGCCGAAGAGCACAGTTCCTCACGAGGTAAAAGGCGATAACCAAGATGCAGCAATTTACAGGTGAACCTATTTTTAGACCTACCCTACAGACTTCACCACTGTATGACCCTGTATGCCATACCTTGGGTATGGCGAAACACATATTTCACTGTAACTGACTCAGAACATCAAATTTGACTGTGCGATTTCGACCACTGACTGTATACTGAATTGCGATTCACCAGGGACTGACAAAATTGAATTCTGATGGACCAAATTTTAAGTTACGACTGACTGTAGTCTAGCCAAGCTTCAGCTATGGCAGCGCAGAATTCCAATTTAGATTATCATTGACGATAGGACCCTGAACTCACCAATTCACTACACAGTATGAATCACAATACGCAATGCAATCACAGATCAAATTTGAGTTAGAAAGGAGACCAAACAGGGTTAGTAGAAGCCAAAGAAGATAGGTAGGGGAAATTGGCTATGGCTGTCCCACGGTCTGAATTTCGATTTTCAACTGTCAACACACTAACAGACCATATTTTGCTATCCTAAAAATAGTCCAGAATCGCCACAGAGAGTAGACTAAGGAACACACTTACTTCAGGGTTATCTCTGAAGAAGATGAATGAAACTAACTATGGCTGTTTGGTCAACCCCATCTCGCCAGTTTCATACCCTGATCATTCCCAGTGTTTCCACGTACCAAACATCCTGAAACTTGGTGATCCAGCAGATTACCCTGAGGCGCTTCACCCTCAGCTGACATAAAACACAAATTTCGGACTCCCAGAGGCTGGTAACTGAGAAACTCAGTGCAACGCCACTTCACCCTGTACTGCGCTGCTTGGAAATTGGGGATCCTGACCCAATTCCAAAATCGCAATACACTGGGATCACCTCTCTGCCAATCGCCAACTTCCAAATGTATCGCCAAGCTAAAAATAGCCTCTCAGAGCCTCACAGGCCTTTAAGCATCAATCGTCAACCATTCCTGCACATCCCTACATAGGAGTGAGTCGCCCTCTGTCCAATTCTTTTCGCCACACGCTCACTACCACCACCCTCGTTGTCGCAAACCCTGAAGATGACAAATCGCCATGAAACTGAACTTCAGTGTCTCGCCAGATAGTGATAGTTGCTCTGATACCAACTATTATGCCGACACTCACTCACATAGACTCCTAGGTATGCCCATACATACACAAAAGGAAGGGGAGAGGATAGGAGTATCACACCGCACAGGGAGAGATAAACACAACGGAAGACTTGACCATGAGATATGACAGGGTACACTGAAAGTGCAATTCACTCCACTCAATCCTCACAACCAGTCTTAAAGAAAAGCCGGGTAGATCACATGCGAGAAACAATGAAAAGATGATAGTCTGAACCCAATATTAACATTGTTGATTGAACTCAGAGTTTCGAATTGCCAGGATAACCTCAGAACTATGATGCACTGCAACCTTGATGAACCGCTATTACTACCCTGAGTCCATGAAACATCAAGCGCCACCCAGATACAACCTCCAGAGGGAAGTGCCACCCTAAAACAGGCCTTTGAGGCCAAGCACCACTCAGAGGATGAAGAAGAAGACCAGCGCCACAATATCGGATGATGACGAAGTGTCGGAAGGCTTCCTGGGTGGAAGTCTGCAACAGCTCGACCACTCTTCACAAAATAACCTCTAAGAAAGAAGCTGCTACGGCTGCAGCGCCACAACCCTGTAACCCTACTCCGGAGGAGGGTCCAGCAGGGCACCAACTTCTCTCGCCTCCAACAGATCTCGAGTAGCCCAGACCTCTGTATAGCCTCGCGTGCTGACAGAGTACAGCGCAGGTCCCAGCTATGGTCGGCGCTCCGAAGGTCTGGCTATGTCTGTCTTCCTCAACGCTGAGCCGTCACCACTTGCAGTTCACGCGTTGCACAACACCGATGTACTCGGTACCAACTGCCAAAAAAAAACCTGAACAGATGTACCTAACCTATCGATAGTCTACTCTAGCCAAGACTCGACCTAGATGGGATTGACTGACCGACCGGTACCGTTTCTGTTTCCGCATCTAGGGCCTCTCCCAACCCGGCTATAGGCTGTAGGACCGTCGAACAACTTTGGTCCTTAGGGTAGCCCGGTCCTGCTATTCGCAGTTAGGGTAGCTGTAGGAATTATAGTTAGTACAAACCTATATTTTCCCAAATTTGCCGATAGGTCCCTAACGAATTTCCTTACAGGCAGGTCTCTCGGTTAGCCCTCAGCCAAACAAAATTACGAATCTAACCTACAGATGGTACAACCTCGACAAGAGAGAGGCTACAGACGACCAGAAACCAGCAAGTCATTGCAGACCTACCTTCCCCCGGAGCGAGGACCTCTGAGCTAAGGGCGTAGGTGTGCAAAGCGTCGAAGGGGTTCTCCCTTTTGTGCTGCCTCATGCGTGAGGACAACAGACTTAGCTGTTTTTAGAAGCTACTTGCGAGTAAACCAACGATCTTCGGTG